TCTGTTAACAGAGACCATGTTTAATTATTTGTTGTAGTATTTACTTGTCGTGTCTCAAAAAATGATTTTGGTGTTGGTGTAGGAAAAATGAATATACACCTACTACAAAATGGAGATGGTGTTCTTCTCTTTGAAAGAAAGAAAAGGCACATTTGATTAAATGCAATCTTCATAGGCTCCCATGTAGGCAGAAAATGAAAATAAAATGTGTAAGGGTAGAAGTAAAAACAGTCTGCCACAAAAATTCCTTTATGTAATTTACAACTGCTTTTGGACATCTATATTATCATTCTTCATTATATTTTGACAACTGAGATTATTAAGGGCATAGAAAATGTCATGAAGTGTTGTGTGGACACCTAATGACTCTGGACTTTTGGAAAGTTTGTCCAGGCAGCCATTATCACATTATCCAATACATGGTCATTATACATTAAAATTTTTCCAGGTGACCAGGTGGTACTTGCAGCAGCAAGAGAAGTAATAACATGTAATGTGATTACATAGTCCCTTCATATATCGAACCATCAAATTGAAACGGATGCAAATGGAAACTAAGATTTTTACATTTTCTTTCTTTTTCAAATAAATGTCTTAAAAGACTTACTAATTTAGGACAGAATTAGACACCATGAGCAGCTTTTTGACTATTAAGAAGAGTAATACCTTGTGATCCCCTGGCCAAATTGTCAGTGACATTTCTTATACATGCCAAGTAAGGAATATAAGGACTATCTGCTGATATATTTAAGAGGGCATCTTCAAAGTTTTCCAGTATTAGGAGCCTAGAGAATTAGAAAAGAATATGTAAATTAAGACATTAAAAAAAACAAAAAGAGACAAAAAGCAAAGCCATTTTGTTTAGATCATTTGAGTCCCTGGTTGTTTGACATGGGTTGACTTGAACATTGAAACACTGTGAAGTGTGACATCTTCCCTCATCCAGCCCAACTGCACAACGACAGCAAGGCTCTTGGTTTTCTGAGTATTTACCTTTACCATGGGCATTATCATTATATTTAATTATTTAAATATTCAATCATAAATAATATTAAGATCATTGTTAGGCACATTTATGTGGAAAAAAATCACTGGG